GGGGGCGAGGAGGGGAGGGAATGCGGAGAAGGCGGGGGTGGGGCGGGTCAGAGGCCCGCGGGCCATCAGGAGGCCCAGCTGCCGGCTCTGAGCCTGCACCGTGTTGGCCCATCTGAGCAGAGGACACCGTGGACAGAGCTGGCCCTGGCGGCCTTACCTTGAGAATTTACAATAAGGACTAATGACTATTTATTTTATTTATAATAAATGTGGGGGAAACAGAAGCAAATAATAACATGCAATCCAGCTTTCCTGAGATAACCACTGCTAACCAGCTGCATGTATCTGTATAGATTTTTAATACACACTCCACCAAAAACAACAGGATAATGTGTGCAAAATCGTAAACATCCACCCTGTCCACAACGGTGTCCCATGCACACAATTGAGCCCCTTCTACAGGACGGGCACTGTCCAGATGGAGGAGACACGATGTGCACACAGACACTCTTGGGTCTCCCCAAGTGTCCCCTCCCGCAGGCCCAACCGACAACTGGTTGGCTGACCACCAGCCGCAGCCGGGCCCTGCACGGCCTCGCTGGGCCCGCCGCCCTTAAGGGCCACATGACTTGGTGCCCGGCCTGAGTGGTTTCCAGGCACACCCATGAAGGGCGTCGCAGTGACTTCTCCGGATCCCCCTGGGCTGTTTTAGATCGGGGGTTGCCGAGGGCTCTCCACGGGCCTGGCAGCGTCTGTGCTGGCCCCACGGCCTGGCACACCTGAGCCCTGCATTTACACAGGGCCTCCCCGCAGCCTGTGGGCTCCCTGGGGGAGGCCCTGCCCCAGTCACTCAGGCTTCCTCATTGCCTCGCAGGGGCCTGGGCACAAAGCCGGGACTCAGGGAGCCTTTGCTGATAAGAGCGCCTCAGTCACCTGGGAACGGTGATCAGGCACAGACGCCGTTGAGGACCCACTAACCCGTGCTCCACTGACACCACCCTCAACACGTCACCACCCATGGAACTGACCCCGCTGCGCCCCGCTACCTGCTCGAAGAACTTGTGCGAGGAGCCGGGCAGGTGAGCCGCCAGTCGCGGCTCCGGGAACACCTCCTTCTCGCAGGCGTAACACCACACCCGGAACGTGGTCAGGTTCACTGTCAGGTTGTGCTTTTTAGCCTAGCGGGCAAGATCCAAAACGAGGTCAAGGACACACTGGCCTCTAGCACGAATGCCAACGGCGGCCGCCGATCAAACGCGGACACGTGCTAAGTGCTGGCACCTGCGTTAGCTCTTGCTTCCCCGCTATGATTATTCCCACTTTGCAGACAGAGCCGCTGAGGCCCAGAGCAGGTAGATGAAGCTGGGGCCTGAACTCAGGGCTGTCTGGCTGCTCCCGGCCACCAAGCTCACCTGTGCATGAAGGGTGCTGTGGTCAGCGAAGGATTCTCCACAGCCAACGTAGGGGCAGGCAACCTGGGGACAGCGGGGAGGAGACTGGATTAGGGGCGGCCAAGAGGACAGTGCCAGCACGGGGAGCCAGTGTCCCCCGTCTCCACCCAAGAAGACCCACAAGGGATCGAGGCCCTGCCACGCTGCGGGAACACAGCTTTACAGCCCCGAAGCCTGCACTGGGCAGGAACGGCCACCATAAAAGCTTCCCCTGGCCTCTGAGCGCGACGGGCAGGTTGTCCTGGGCCACCACTCTTCTGGTAAAATGCCAGGCAGGGCCACGGCTAGACCCAGGAGAGGCAGCAGCCGAGCTGCTTGGCCCAGACTCTCTTGGCCTCCACTGGCCCCCTTTTCACCAACTTCCTGCCAGGTCATTACTGGTACCATACTTTCGCTGGGTGAGCCTGTGTCGCACAGCCCTTTTCTCATAGGTGACACTGAATGGGCAGAGGCAGTGGGGCCCAATGTTGAGCCAGTGCCCCACAGTGGGGCCTGCATGGCCCCGAGAACCCTACCTGTGGCCTTGCCCTCTCCTATCCCAAATCCACCGACCTGCTCAGGGCCTCTCCACTGTGGAACTCCGCCCCAGCGACGAGGCGGCCTCTCCACTGGAGGGGTCACTTGGGGTCATTTCCCAGAGATCAGCACCACACAGGCTGGTGAGGGCCCTTTGTCACAAAGGATGCATCCTTCGCTGCAGCGGCTTCTGCACCTGTCTGTCTGGGGGGGGACTCTGGGCTCCCGGGAGGTAGCATCATGTCTCACACTTCTTGCTGACCCCCAGGGGCCCAGACAGTGTCCTGCAATCTACTTTATACTGAGTGACAGGCCCCAAAGCAGAGGCCGGAGTCTCCTGGGGACCCTGTGTCTTCTGAAAGACAGATTTGAACTGTGATGTCTTCACCCCCTCAGGCTGGCCTTTTCATTTCTACTTGTTTATTTTAAAAGGAATTTGAAGTAACACTCATTTTTAGCATGTTATAAAACGCAATAAATACACACGTGTAAAAAATTTGGAAAAGACTACAAAATTCAGAGAGAAATGAAAATTACTCATAATTCCACCGCCTACTGAAAACTGTCATGTTTTGATCTATGTTATTCTTTTCAATAAACAATAATAATCAAAACACAGTCAGACTTTCCTGGATACTGTCTCTGGGCCACACGCCCTGCTAAACCCATCGCAGGCTCCATCTCATCGAATTCTACTCCAACCCCAAGAGGCGGGGACAGTTGTCAGCGTCGTGGCCCCTACTCTATAGACGGGAAACGAAGGCCCAGGCTGGCTCACGGACAGGCTGCTACTTCAAGAGCCAGGGCTCAGAGCGAGAGACCTCACGGAGGCGCACATACCTGTGCGAGAACTGTGCCTTTTATGAAGGTGAGATCGTCTCGTCCGAGTCTCCCACCTGCTCTTTGCTCTTCCCATTTTTAATGGCTGCCAAGGCAGCCAGCCCAGGGACTCGCTGACCATGGATCTCTTTTAGCTTGGGAACCCCGCCTGAGACATCCACGCCCTGATGCCCTTGTCCCCGCCCAAGGCCGCATCGAGACTGCGCCCGCGCCCCCAGCAGCTGCACACACCCCTTACCTGGAGACAAGCCCACAGGTTCGGTCCAGCAACACCGCACGATTGACAGGTTGCCTGTGAAAGGTGAGGTGAGAGACAAAGAGCAAAGTGTGAGGGAGGCCCGCTGGGGACCCCAAAGAACCATGGCCCGGCCTGCTCCCGCCTAGCGGGGAGCCACACGCCTGCCTCTGACACTCCGCCCTAAATGCCAAGGCTCTGTCTGCCTCGGGAAAGGCTCTCGCCAGCCCACCAATCTAAACGCGGTCCCTTACAGGGACACTTTACACGTTACTGTTTGAAGTTTGTTCTATTACGTGCCTGCAAAAGCATTTTCAGTAAAATCATTTGAAACTTACACAGACTCCTTAGTCTGCAATCTCATCACATCTTCTACTCCTCCTTCCTCACACTACTTAAGCCTCAACGCCGGCCCCTCCCTCCCACCTCCGTCTAGACTATGAGGGGGTCTGTTTTGTCTGCTCCTGTGACTTCACAGGGCCTGGTACAAATTAGGAGCTCAGTATATTTGCTGACTGTAGAAAACGCCCAGGTTAGTGGTCGTCTGGGTGACAGAGCCTGCTTTTTGTCTACCGATATCTCCCCTTTTTAAGAGCAGAATGCATGAATTTTGGCTGAGCTCTTGGCCGGCCAGCTGCAGACCGTTTCTCAGCCGCCACTGGGACCATGGAGCTCAGTTCTAGTCCATGGGACGACAGCAAAAGTGACGTGGCCACTTCTGAGCTGTGCACTACCGTCCTTCTTTCTCTTCTTTACATTGCCTAGGATGTAGATGTGATGGCAGGAGCTGAAGCAACCACATTGGACTTAGAGATGAAAGCCACAAGTTGAGAGTGGCAAAGCTACCCTATCAGTCCTAAAAATAAATTATTTAGGGTACAGTTTAAGTCGTTGAAACAAAGAGACCCTGAAATACGGTGACTTACATAAGTTTATTTTCATTCACTGTGAGCTACCTGTTGACATCCGGGCCCCTTCTGGGTCTTTTAAAACAATGTTGACTTTGCTTTGTACATTTCTGGATGCCCAGAGAGGAGCTGAAGACATGCTCTCTGAAACGCAGGCCTGGGACCACTCCAGACGCTCTTGGTCTTTCCACAACAGAAGCACTAACACTTCCAAGAGGCTGCCTCGTCCCAGCCCACGTCAGCCCATGTTCTGCCTCCTTCTTCCCACCTCATGCTCCCCCTGCTCTCCGATCCCCCTATTCCTGCCTTTTCTGGAGGCAAAATCCTCTCCGTAGGTCTCACTTACTCTTCTGCAGACTGGGAAAGAAACCCAGCATCAGACGGTGTCAATGCGCCACAGCCTCGCTCTGCCCCTCCTCCAGACCACACAAGAAGCGAAACTACTTCAAAGAGGCCACAGGTACTTTGAAGTACTGATCCCTCACACAGGCCCGGACTGAGCCGGCTCAGGCCAAAGGCCCCCAGGACCTGTCTGCACAGGGAGGTTGAATGACTGGCATTAGGTGCCTGGAAAATGGAGCTGACGACAGATCTAGGAATGGCCACTCATCGCAGCATCGTTCATTTGGGCAGGAGGTGGCCAAGAGCCCAAGTGTCCACCCACAGAGGATTAGTTATGGGGTCCGCATGATGAAACGGGACGCAACTTCAAGACAAACAATGAGAAAGCTGTCCCTGCGGACCAATGTCAAAAGGGTTCCAACATATATTGTCATGTGAATGAAGCGAGTTACAAATGTGTCTCCAGTATGCTACCTTTTATGTAATAAAAGGGAAAAGGAAAGAGAAATATATTTGCATATGTTTGCATGAAGAAACTCTGAAAAGATACAAAGAAACAACTCTAAGTGGTTACGCGAGGTGGGCTGGGGAGGGTGAGCACAGAGGACGGGAAGGGCCCTCCCTGACATTTATATTCTTACAGTCTTTCATTTTTGAATCATGTGAAAGTACCATCCATTCAAAAAATTTGAATTTAACAAAGAAAGACGATGACACAGGCTCCCTAGTCAGAGAGGCCCGCCTACACGCCTCGGGCCTCCCTGAGCCCTCATTGGGCCAAGGTGGGTGAAGATGCCCCACGGAAACGCATAGCGGGACTCAGCCCCTCGAGAAGGTTCTGCGCACCTTCTCCGGCAGCTAATAGGCAGCACGTTAGTGGCTCCCAGAGGGACTGGTCTAAACGATCATTAACACAGCCCCAAACAGACGCCGGCTTCCCCATTTACACGGAAGGGAAAGCCGAGACGTGATGGAGCCAGCGCTTCTGCTGCTTCAGAAACATTCATGCCCCAGAAACGCAGAGGCCCTGAGGGTGGGCCACGGTCGCCTAGGGTCTGACACTTTACCTTCGATTTGAGCAGCAAGTCGTCTTTGGTCACCTCCCCTATAGAGTCAAGGTGAGGGCAGAGGTCTCTGGAGTCCCCCATTCTGGCCTGGGCTCACCTAGAGGAAAACACAAGGTGTCCTTGGTTGGTGACAGCAGCCTCTGCCTAAGGGGGACAGGGAGGCCAGCGGTTAAGTGCCAGCTTGGGTCTCCGGTCCCAGCTCTGCCCCGTGATCAGCAGGTGAGCGGGGGAAGCTGTTTAACTCCTCTGAGCCGCTCGCCTCGTCTGGGAATCGGGGATGAAGACACCACTGACCCCCATGGGCCGCTCGGATGAGTCACAGTGGGTACGAGCAGAACTGTCTGAATAAGCTCCGTGGGTTGTGCCAGGGTCATTTTTGTGGCCGTGATACTGTACTACAGACACACCAAAGATGTGGTACCACTGGGGGGAATTGGGTAAAAGGTAACGTGGGACTTCCCAGTACATTTTTGGCAACTTCCTTTGAATTATAATTATTTCAAAAGAAAATGTTTCAAAATACGTAACCAAGTACATGCTTCTACCACACAGTAGTTTAGCAGAAATCACACCTGGGAATCTGACTGCTGATTCTAGCTCCAATTTGCCAAAAAAAAAAGGCGCAGACCAACTAGAGATGTAAGTGAAGCCAAAGTGGTTTAATGAAAGGCAGGGGCCGTGTGTCCAATGGAGGAGGGGGGGACCCCGGGCCCCTCCTACCAGCCACCTCCCTGCCCTAAATGGTCACCCAGGCGTTGACTGGCCCAGACTCCCAGCCAGAGCTGGAGTGACTGGTGTGGATTAGATGCCAGGTACCTGAGTGCTCTTCATGCACCATTTCATCAAAAACCTCCCCGGCGATCTTGTAGGCAGCCGTGATGAGCCCCGTTTCACACCAGGAAAGGGGCTCCTTTTTGTCTCCGGCCTCGGGTGTGCTAGAGCTAAAGCTGGAACCCAAGGCCCCTCGCACTGTCTTTCTTTTTAACTTACGGAGAATGTACATACAGGCGAGAGTCGGCAGAACTGTATGACACGCTCCCAGGTACCTAGCACCTAGCTTCAACAATGAACAATTCACGGCCAACCTGGCTTCCTCTCAACCGCCCACTTCCTCTTTTTTTGGCCACAAATCCCAGATATCACATCATTTCGTCCGTGTATATTTTTCTCAAAGGACTTGAAAAGAGAAAACAAGCATCGCCACAATTCCATTATTTTACTTGAAAAATTCATACTCCCTCCTCAGTCCGGGCCTAGGAGCTACGCCTGCGTGGGGGAGGCGGTGGCCTACCTCTGCTCACAGCGACACCCCCAGGAAGCAGCCGACGTCCACATTCTCTGCTGACAGCCGACAGTGGCGGGCTGCCATGGGCTGGAGTGAAGTGCTGGCCTCTGTCAGGGTGCCTGGGGGGACAAACCAAGGCACTTTGTGTAGTTATTCTGTTGTTTTAATATCACGGCACCGACCAGTGGTGCCGGTGGACCCTTCACTAGTCACTGCTGGGCGTCACCTCTGTGATCTCCAAGACGGGGACTTTCAAAGGCCTGCAGGAGAGCCTCTGCGACCACTGCTCCCTGCGGCTGCCAGAGCCCCTTCGCCCTCAGGACAGAAGGCTGGGCCGCTCCCACACATGCCACTGGGGCCCTCAGATCATCCCCCGAGCCGCCCAAGGACCTCGTGCAGCTCAGAACCTCTGACCCATAAGTGTTGAGCAACCCCAGGCTACAGGAACAAGGGGGGTCATCCACATGTCGCCACTGCGCCCCCTTCCTCGGTGAGCCACAGTCTCCCAGATGTGGGCAGTCCAAAGAGAGAGAGGCAGTTAGAAGCCAACATTTCAAAAGGTCACATGACAATGACAGGGCTCAAGGTTCTAAATTCCAAGCCACCTCACTCGAAGCCAAAGTTTCAGGTTTTTTCCTTTCTCACAGTTTGCAACGCGGTCCAGTGTCCTTGACTACTGCTGGCCCCACACTGTTTTGAGCCGCAGTATGTGGATATGGGGGTTTTCGTTTGTTTGTTAGTGTCTTTAGCATATGCCAGTGCCATGAACCGTGCCCAGGACGAGGATCGCGGTGACAGGCCCGCTCTTGATTCACACGTACAGACAACTTAAGTTCCTGTAACTTCGGATAGAAAAAAAAAAAAGCAGCCCGGTGGCTAACAATCCTCTCTGTACTCTAACTGGTCCCGTTTCACACATGAAGAAACAGAGCTGGAGCCTAAGGAACTGCAGAACTTGGCCAAGGTCAATCCTTAGCTGGTAAGCGGTGGCCGGGAACCCCATCAGGTCTGTCTGGTACAGAGCCTTGCTCCAAATCAGGGGTGGGCAGACTTTTTCTATAAAGGACCGGGGAGTAAGTATTTTAGGCTTTGCATATCAGTCTTTACCACACATTCTTTGTTTTATTTACTATCCATGAAAAGACATATTTTTAATTCTTAGCTCAAAGGCCCTACGAAACGACCTTGGCCTGCTGCCACAGTTCGCTGGCCCCTGTTCTAAATCACGACACTGTTGGGCCTCACCGAAAAAAGCCTGATCACTGGCATTTCACTTCTCACTACACACAGGTCACCACCAGTTAAATAAGGCGAATCGCAAGGAACAGTCAAGAGGGTTAACCTGGCTCCAGATCATTTCTAAGTAATCAAGGGTGTGTGCAAAGCCAGAACTACAAAGATGTCCACTGTAGCACTGTTTATAATGGTGAGGAATCTGGATATAATCTAAGCGAACAACAACAGGCAGTTGGGTAAACAATGACACAGCCACACACTGTTGTACTACATGACCATAAAATGATGACTATTGAATCTTCCTATCTGTGAGATTAAATTAGATCTAAATAAATGGAGAGATATACCATGTTCATGGACTAGCACACTCAAAACTGTTAAGATGTCCACCCTCTCCAAATTGATCGTTAGAGTCAATGCAATCTCAACTGAAATCTCAGCAGGCTTTTTTGTAGAAATTGTCAAGCTGATTCTAAAATTAATATGGAAAAGCAAAAGACCTAAAATAGCCAAAACGATTTTGAAAAAGATCAAAGTTGGAAGAGTTACACCACCTGATGTAAGGACAATAATTAAATTAGTGTGGTACTGGCTCGAACATAGACGTATAGGGGACAGAATAGAGAGTTGAGAATTAGACCTGCACATATGTGGTCAGTTGCTTTCCTACAAAAGTCCTGATATAATTCTGTGGGCAAAACATAGTCTTTTCACCAAAAAGTATTAAAACGATGATATCCATATGGGAAAAAAATGAACTCTCATATCGGACACAAAAATTAATTAGAAATGAATGACAGGCTTCGTGGAACTGATGGTCAAGAGAGGGTTTAATAGATCTTCCCTTTCCTCTTGTTCTTTTCCAAGGTTCTCGAAGAGTTTGGCTGCTCTAAAATGCCTTGCTCCCCAGTGTGCTTCCTCATCTTCAAATCGATGACATCCTCTTAATTCTTGGCACTGAGCTTCCAAGTCCGTTTTCAGCTGCTCATGGCGCTGCTGGAGCTAAGCTTCAGAGTCTTTCGGATTTTGAACTTCATCTCAAATACCTCGTCCATCTCTATCTCTTTCACCTTGGCCGCATGCTCCCTCCTCCCTTCTCCCATTCGTGCCAGAGAGCTCTTAGGAAGCTGCCCTCACTTCTTGTTGTTATCAACTCCATTAGAAGTCCTCTAATTCCAGAAACGTTAAACTGAGCAAAAGAAGTCAGAAACAGAAGCGTCTACACTATATGATTCCATTTACCCGAAATTTGAAACATACAGTCACGCTCCACTTAACAACAGGAATACGTCCTGAGAAATGAGACGTTAGGCAATTTTGTTGTTGCATGAACTTCAGGGGGAACTTACACAAACCTAGGTGGTGTAGCCTACTCCACACCTAGGCTGCATGGTACAGCCTACTGCTCCTAGGTTACAAGCCTGTATGACGTGTTACCGGACGAAACAACATGAGATTAAATCAAGCGCGAGAGAAAAACAATGCGATCGGGACACATGGCAAATACGAGATGCTCGCTGGGGTGGCATGCCATAGTTTACAGCAAATTATTTTTTTAACAACCAGGAAGGGCACACTCTAAAATAACGATTAATAGTATAGTTAATACATAAACCAGTGACACAGTCATTCATTATCAAGTATAATGTGCTGTAATTACTGTATGTGCTACACTTCTATACAACAGGCAGCCCAGGATGTTCACCCCGGCATCACCGCAAACACGTGAATAACGCGTGGCACTATGACATTACCACAGCTATGACCTCACTAAGCAATAGAAATTTTTTGGCTCGCTATAATCTTATGGGATCGCTGTCATATCTGCAGTCCCTCATTGACCAAAACATCGTTATGCAGCACATGACTATAGATGAAAATAATCTACGGTGATAGAAATTGGATCAGTGGCTACTTGGGGCGGAGGGTGAGGCGACACCATAAAGAGGCAAGAGGGAACTTTCCATGGTGTTGGAACGTTCTCGATCTTAACTGAGGTGGGGTTTAACCAGGTCTCCATACTCGTCAAATCTCAGGAAATACATATTTAAAGTGCATTTTACTGTGTGTAAATTATACCTCAATAAAGCCGATTAAAAGCTTTTAAAATCACAATTGATCTATAGACAGAAAGCGGCTCAATGGTTGCCTGCAGCTAAGATGGAGAGAGAAAGAGGTATCACTTGACAAAACTCTTCAAATGGGTGCATTTTACTGGACATAAATTATATCTCAATAAAACTGATTGAAAATCATGAAGAAAACCTCACATTTTAAATGAATGACTGAGACCTATATTATTAATACAGATAAATCTCAGAGAATGTTCAATAATAAAAATAAGTTGTACCATCTCGCACCCATTAGGATGGCTACTATCAAACAAACAAACAAAAAACCACCGAACCAGAAAATAACGAGTGTTGGCAAAAATGTGGAGACACTAAAACCTTGTGTACTATTGGCGGGAATATGAAGTGGTACAGCTGCTGTGGACACCAGCATGGAGGCTCGATGATGAAACAGAATTTCCACACGATCCAGCAGTTTCACTTCCCGATAAGCACCCGAGAACTGAAAGCAGGACCTTGAACAGATGTTTATGCACCTGCGTTCATGGCAGCGTTATTCATAGTGGCCAGAGGTGGAAGCGGCCCGGGGAACCATCGGAAGATGAATGGATAGATAAAACGTGGTCCCTCCGTACGATGGAATATTACTCAGCCTCAAAAAGGAGATGACGACACCTGTCAAAACATAGATGAATCTCGAGAACGTTACGCTGAGTGAAATAAGCCAGCCGCAAAAGGACAAATCTTATGAGTCCTCATATAGGAAGTACCTAGAGTAGTCAAATCCACAGATACAGAAGTAGAATGGTGGGTGCCAGGGGGAGGGGGAGATGGGGAGCTGGTGTTTAGTGGGTGCGGTGTTCAGTTTGGGAAGATGGAGAAGTTCTGGAGATGGAGGGTGGTGACGATGGTTGCGCGACCATGTTCATGTACTTAATGCTGCTGAACTGTATACTTAAAAATGATGAAGACGGTAAATTTTGTTATATGTATTTTACCAAACTTAAAAAAAAAAAAGAATTTAAATCAATTTTTTAAAAGTTGCAGGATACATCTAGTATGACCCCATTAGAAAGAGCTGAAAAAGCTGGGGCAGGGGGCGGGGGATTATCAAGTGAAATAAATACTCAACACCCAGGTAAGATACTGGTCCCCATCAGGCGCCCCGCCACGCTGCTCACTGTATCGTCCTCTCTCCTCCTTCAGGTCTCAGCCTCGCTGTCCCCTGACCAGGGAAGGCATGTGCTGGCCACCCACGGAACTCAGTTCCACTCTCCCCGACTACTCTCTCCCCCAAGGACGGTCCTCTGTCCATCCCGGCCCATATTTGGCAGGCTCTCTTATCATCTGGCCATTTCTCCATTTTTTTCTGTCGGACGCCTGTTTCTAGTCAGGAACGTGAGCACCGTGAGGGTAGGAATCTGCTTTGCTCACTGCTGTATCCCAAATCCCTGAAACCGCACCCTAAACGCAGCAACTTCCCAGTATTTACTGAATGGATCAAAAGAGCGAAGAGCCGTAAAACACGATGACGGGAAAATCTCATTTTGGTGAAGAATTTTGTTTTGTGCCTATAGAAAGGATTCCGTCATCATCCCTGGGAGGGTGAAATCAAGTGATTTCTATTTCCTCCTTTTTTGTTTGTATTTTCTACAACGAATTCATGTTGCTTGTGTAACACTGTATCTAACCCAATAGGTTACTTTTAATTATTTTTCAAGTTGCGAAAAGAGCACGTGGTTGGCCTTTCTGGTATGTGAGGTTTCCTCCTGGGACTGACCTTGCTTTTCCCCAGGCTCCCGAGAGAACTCTAGAGGGGACAGAAGCTCCATCCCTGGAGCTCTCATGGAGTGTGAAGAGGACACACGAGGTCCGTTTCAGAGAAGGGGCAGCAGCACCTGCGCGGACTCCGAAGCCCCGACAGAGGAAGTGCCTAAGTGGATGGCTTGAAAGTACAACTTTTTGTCAAGTGACTCATCCCAGGGAAAATTTGCTCTTAACGCCTTTGTTTTTGCCTCATTAATTTCTGCCTCAGATTAACCCTTTTCCCTATTTCCCTTGAGAACACTCGCCGGTGGCACTTGCGGCTGGAGTTTATCCTGAGATAATTTGCAAATTACAGTCCTAACCTTACCTCCAAAGTTTGCCACGAAATGTCTCACTTTTATTATTATTTTCACATTGCTCTAGCATATGGATAGTCTTTGGGAACCAATGACATCATTCTATTTATAGCGTTCTGTTGTCAGTAGTTTGATCGCTGAAAATGTCAAATCCTGGAAAACTAGAAAACGTAGCATTCCTACACGTGATATTAAATAAATGCTGGCAGCGAGCTGCACTTTTTTTTTCCTAAATAGGGAAAAGGGTTAAAATTTTTCATCTCCTACCTACCCTGAAAATAGAAAAAGATATGTTTGATCTTAATAAAATTAATATACTCCTCTGTAGAAGCTGGAAAACAGACAGAGATAAAATGAAGTATAAAATATAAATCACCTATACTCTTACAAATAAAAATAACCATGGTTACTGCTGTGGTAAGCCTTGTTTCTATGTATAAACATAGAATTTTCAAAACTCAACTAGAACAGATAGTTCGTATACAGATTTTAAAATTTCGGTCATATGCATTTCCCACGTCACTAAGTTTCTTTCCAACAACTTCATTTCTGTTGACTGAATAATATCATTCACACCCATATACCTTACTCACCCACTTTCCTACCACTGAACACTTTGGGTATCCGTGTGTGTGTGTGTGTGTGTGTGTGTGTGTGTTGCCATTATAAATGAGGCAGTGAGCAGTACTTTGGAATATAAATCTTTGACTATACCTTTGATCAAAAGAAAAATTAGTGGATCAACTATATAAACAAACTTCCCTCCAGAAGAAAATACATAAATTTATCTGCCTACCAACAGTGTACGAGCATGACCAACATAAAGTTTAAGGTTTACTAACATTTTTTTTAAAGTTGATGGTTAAAAATTAGCTTACATGAAGAGAAAAGTTGAAGGTAGTTCCAAAAACTGTGGGTACTTAATATTCCACACTCAGGGCTGAAACGTGAGAAATACGTGAGTCTGCAAAGATTGTACCTTATCTCAGCCGTCCAAAAGTTTTCAGTTTGCTTTATCTTGGTAACCAACCAACGTTGTGCAAGTACCTCCTCAGGGCGATGACTTGGGGTGATGGAAAACAAGCCAGGCCTGGGACCCACCCTCACGGGACAAGGAGTTCCATGTTTCAACACCAGGGTACCCGTATGCAGCCACCAGGGATGTTATCATTAATAATGGCAGTAACTTTATGGTGTTCTTACCACATGTCAGTGTGTCACATAGATTAATCCCAGACTCGACTATAATTACAGAAGGAAGTAATAAAAATAGCTAGTCCTATGTTCAACTCCTTGCTCTTGTTACTTGCAAGCTGTGTCCTTAGATAAATCACTCAATCCTCAGTTTCCTTATCCCTGAAATGGGGACAAAGACAGCAACTAAAGTTATGGAGAGGATGGTGACAGAGATTTAGCATAATGACTCCTGATCACGTGGACTTCCAGGATGGCTCAGAGTTTGTATTTATCTGCACAGCGAGAACGCTCGAAAAATGTTTAGGACTATAATTTGTGTTACTGGCCATGTTTTATACATCAGGAGACACACTGGTAGGAATCCATCAGCTTTTCACTCAGGGCTCCATTGCCCAGGACAGCCAGGCTGACCGGCCCAGCCAGGAAATGTACAATGTCATCCAAGTGTGACCCACGGCAGGCGACTAACGCATGGTAGATCTGATTCTCAGTGCTACTTTCTAAGATCCGAGCTCATCCATCTCCTGGTGCTTGTGACATTAAAGTAAAACCAGGAGAAGCAATCCTAGGGAATGGAGCAAATCTTTAAGCAGCTCTCCTGCCCGAGACGGCCGGCAACTTGATTTCCTTTCTCACACAAGCTGAGCAACTGTTCCAGATAAAAGGTACCGAAGAAACAAGATAAAATCGGATCCCAGAGCAATGGAGAAAAGGGCATTCGTGGGATGACTGACAAATCTGAATATGGATGACATTAGATAACAGTTCTTGTTATGGACTGAATTGTGACCCCCGCCCCCAAATTTATATGTCGAAGTCCTAACCCCCAAGTACCTTGGAATGTCATCTTATTTGGTGATAAGGTTTTCGAAGAGGTACTTAAGTTCAAATGAGGTCTTTAGGGTGGACCTCGATCCAGTCTGACCAGTGTCACGAGAGGAGGAAATCTGGACACACAGGAGACACGAGGATGCACACAAAGGACAGACCGCGCAAGGACGCAGCAAGAAGGTGGCCGACCACAAGCCAGGGAGCGAGGCCTCGGAAGAAATCGCATCTGCTGACACCTTGATCTTGAACTTTCAGACTCCTGAACTGTGAGAAAACAAGCTCCTGTTGCTGAAGTCAGCCGGTCTGTGGCACTGTGTTACGGCAGCCCTGACAGACTGCTGCGTATTATATCAGCGCTAACGATTCTGAAGATGGACACTGTTTTCTGGTTCTGTGTCGTAACATCTGCTCTTAGATGACTCCCCTAAAATATCTAGGATCATGAGATCTGCAACTTACTCTTAAATATCCAGAGAGCAAACACGGCAAAAATGATAATTGGTGAATCTAGGTGAAGAGTATGAATGGAACTTCATTCTATTATTCTTATAACTTTTTTGTAAGTTAATTTTCCAAAATAGAAACTTTTGAAAGATCCCCTCTCTCTCATCTAAGGTGGGAGCAGGGAGGGGGTCTTTTGGCAAAGGGAACCCTAACTCAATAGCAGGTGCCGCAGGATCCAGCACCTACTGAGCCAGGCGCAATGCCCAGGGTTTCACCTACACCCTCAGGTAAGGACTGGGGCTTCTCATCTTAGAGGAAGAATGGAGGTTCCGAGATGGGAAGCCACTTGCCCAAGGCCACACAGCGAGGAAGTGACAGCGGGAAGTGAGCCAGGTGTGCCTGCTTCACAGCTCTTCCCAAGCTTCCCTCTGTGCCAATAGATGGAATGCACACAGTAAGCGCTTAATAAAGACTGACAGGGAAAGAAACCTGCACTGCTGAGAACTGGATCCTGGGAACAGGCCCTCTCGAGAGCAGCTGGTTGATTGTGCTGTTGGGAGTCAGTGAGGGGCCCGCGCCACAGTGGGTGCCCGAAATGCCAGCCAGAGGGGCTGTGTTTCCACCACGGCGACCCCAGGGCACCTCTCCCCCTTGACTCATCTCCTTCTTGGGGATGAGAAAGCAGGAGGAAAGGAGGCAGGCTGGAAGGCCTGGCAAAAGCCCACCCATTCAAGGCCTGGTGAGGCTTCCAAGATGCTTCATCCTGAAAAGGACAGACACTTTTCCCTCCCTGGGGCCTGTACTGAGTGAGGGGAAGTGCCTCCCCAGGGAAACGGGCTGGCGGCAGGCAGCACATCCGGGCCTGGCACCAGCTGCTGAGAGCAGGCCTCAGGTGCCCATTACTCATCATTTTCCTGGACGTCTGGCTGCATTCTCCTCCCAGCCAGGACCCAAGATCCTCAGGACAGGAAAGGTGACGCTGCCAAGCCCCCTACCCACATAAGGACACCCACCTGCCCTGATCCTCACCACGTCAGCCATTCCACACCCCACACACTCACACCTGTACTCCTCTGCCCCTCAGAACATGTATACTCCTACCCTCTTCTCCCCAGCAGACTTCCAAGCAGCTCCATTTCCCCTAAACCTCAAATACATTCCTTCCTTTAACCTGGTCTTCATTCCCTGAGAGTCCACCATCCATCCTTCTGACTCTCAAAGCAGAACCCCCAGCCGCCTCCTGCCTTGACAAGTCCTGCTTCCCACATACCTCCAGTTCTCCTCGATCACCTTACCCACCCTGTCCCCACCCGAATGGGCCCTGTCATGGAACCAACATTAACAGAACTCACTCAATCCTCATAACCACCCTGGAGAAACACTGCAAACTAAATCCGTCTTCATTTCCATCACTAAAAAAGGAAAGACCGAGGCTCAGAGAGGTGGAGTAACTGGCTGGAGGTCACACAGCTACCGAGTGGCTTTTGCCCAAAGCCAAAAGGCTGTTCTAAGAAGTCTTGAGTCTCAGTCCAAGGGAGAGAACAACAATCTCAGAGGAGACTGTTCCAGAGAAAAATAAGGCATTCCAGAAATTCAGCCCAGACTCGAAATGGTCTTCCAGAAGATGGAACCAAACAGTCTCCATCAGCGCATCCCTTCAGCGATGAGCTGTAATTACAGCAGCTGCTGCATTTACTGAACTCTGCTGTGCCAGGAACTGTGCAAAAGCTGAAGCAGAGGTAGGCCTGCGACCAGTCCCTGCCCCACCTTCCAGTTGTGTAAACTGAGGCACGTATTGCCTCACCGAACCCGGGTATCCTCATTTGCAAATTTAAAAGTAACTGAATCTACTGCATAGGCTTGTTGAGAGAATTCAATAAGATAATGCTTAGCCCAGTGCCTGCCACGCAGTAAGCGCTTAATAAGAGCTAGTTCTTTCAAAGGAAGGGATCGGCCCATTTTGAGAAAAGAAAAACGATTTAAGGGGTTCCTAAAAGTCCCGTAAGCCACTATTTATGCAATAAGTTATTTCCTAAACATTTGTTGATGCCCGTTTTTCAAATAAACTTAATCCTCACAGCATCCTCGGGATGGAAGGGGCAAAGGGCAGAGAGACAGTCCTCGTGACAAAGGACGAAATCGAGGCCCCCGAAGGTCCAGGGAAGCGGCCGGCAAAAGCACCCGAGGAGGGGCCCGATGTCCTCAAAACCCTCGAGTGGGTTCAAAACATCAGACGCGCCTCTCCCCGGGGAGAAGTGGCTGGAGGTCATTACTAGCGGGGCAGTCGGCATTGGGACTTTGATTCACCACCGCTATTAAGTGGTCGTCTTTTGTCCCTAAAGAGAAAAACACACGTCAAGGCCCAGTCCCCGGGGAAATAAGTCAGCGTCCCGAGACGCCACACGCGTGCCTTCAACGCCGGACCAGGCCCTGGCAGAAATAAAAGAGATGGCGGCCCCCGTCCCGGAGAAGCGACGAGCCCCCGGGGGCTCGAAGTCGGGCAACGGGACCCCAGAGGACCCTCAGGGCGCCGGCCGGAGGAGGGGAGGGGACGACAGCGGCCGGGGGGTCCCGGGCTCCGCTCACCTGGCCGCGGTGTTCAGCGCACTCGGCAGGGCCAGGGCCCCGCCGGCCGGGGCAGGGCTGGGATCGCCCCTGCTCGGAGAGGCCCGGCCCCCCGAAGCAGCCGGCGGCAGCCCGGAACTCACCTGCCGTCGCGCCCGCGCCGCCGCAGCCTGTCAGTCAAACGCATCCTTCGCCGCGCGGCGCAGGGTCGTGGGGCCCGGCCAGCCACGCCCCGCCTCCTTCCCCTCGACCGCCCAATTGGAGAGGCCAACGCCACCGGTGGGGCGTGGCCAACGGGTCCGGCGAGAGCCGGGGCGGAGCCAGTCGGGTTTGGGGCGGGGCCAGGCGGGGCCGGCGTTCTGACGACACTGCTGCACGCCGGAAGTATTGCAGGCCACGGCCCAGCGGCGCAGCGGCTGGGCCGCGGGTCCGGCGGGACCATGCCGGTCACCGGGAAGACTTTCCGTCGGCGCCGGGCTGACTCGGAGTCGGAGGAAGATGAGCAGGACTCACAGGAGGTTCGGTGCGTTTGGGGCACGGTTCCCACGGAAAAGAGGCGGGCTTGGGGACTCACCTCCGGCCTGGCGCCTAGTTGACAGCGTTGCTAACTGAGCCGGGGTTGTTGTCCCCTTCTGCTGGCGAAGTAGTTGAGGCTCATAGGGATGAGGCCGCCGCCCCAAAGCCCGCATAGTTGGGAGAGGTGTTACCGGGATGGGCAGTGGATCTGACTCCCGGTGGGTCTAGGGGCAGGTAGGTTCGCCTTCTGGACCACTGCGCCGGCGGCTCAGCAGCGGGCTGCTGGGCTGGTCGAAGCTGCTTTTTGAGTTCTGCGAAGGGTCTCTCAGCCTGTGCATTGCCTTTTTTCAGATTAAAACTGGAAGAGACCCGAGAGGTGCAGAACTTGAGGAAAAGGCCCAACGGAGTGAGGTGGGTACTGCGGGGGAACCCGGAGAAGGAAGAATTGGAGGTGATAGACACGCCCCCGCCCGGGTTGCTGTCACAAATACCTCCTCAGATGCAGCCCCTTTTCCTGACACACTGGACACCTTCCACTGCCCTGGAACTGGTCCAGCGTTCTTTGTAAACATTTAACCGGTAGATGCCCTGAGCCGTGTGGTCTTAAGCTTTGCTCCAGAGGTGCAGGAACAGGTCGCTAACTCGTGTTTTTATTGCACCCGATTCATTATGAAAGCACACCGATTGTTAAGAGTTTGGAAAATTTAGAAAAATCTAATCAAGAAAATAAACAGTGCCTGTAATTCTCCCATCCGGTGTTAACATTTAATGTTCTTTCCAATCTGTATTCTCTCTCTTTTGTGAAGAATAGCGAGTACTTTTATTCAGTGCTCTTTTCAACTCATTATGACATTGTGGACATTCATTCACATGGTGGATTATATTTCCAAAAACCTTTTTATTGGCTACATAATATTCCACCACATGTATGTACCATAATTTAATTTCCTATTTGGGGACCTGTAGGTCAATTTGTAAATTTTCATCATGTAAGACTTCAATAGGTATTTTCCTACATTTGTCTTTAACTTCATTTTCCTTGAAAGCAAAATCTTATAAATGAGATTTTCCAAGCCAAGGTAATACCAAATGGCTTTATAGGACAATGTACCACTTCACCCCACTCCCACCCCCCATCTCCCAGCATCTACAGTGCTTGTTGAGTCCTGTTTTGTAGTCTCGTAGGCTTTTCTAGCTGCCTTTGGTGCCCGCCCCTCAAATCTCACACTTGCACTAATGCCGCAACCTACAAACTCCCTAAATGTGTTTCCTCATCTCTAAAATGCACCATTCTTCGCCCCTCTTCCCTCCCATTTTGGTTTCGTTCAGTGCTGTGGCCCTGCTGGTGGGAGAGAAGGTACAAGAAGAAACCACTCTAGTAGTAAGTTCTGGGGTCCTCCCCGGGCAGTGGGAAGATGTGGATGCTCTTCAGTGGGTGATTGTGTTTTCTTTAAAAAAAAAAAAAAAAAAAAATCTGCCGCGTAAATATAGTAAGTTCTGGGGTCCTCCCCGGGCAGTGGGAAGATGTGGATGCTCTTCAGTGGGTGATTGTGTTTTCTTAAAAAAAAAAAAAAAAAAAAAATCTGCCGAGTACATAGATATTTCTTCTTAGCTGTGTTTGCTTTCTGCAGGATGACCCATTTCAGATGAAGACAGGTGGTATGGTGGACATGAAGAAACTGAAGGAAAGGGGCAAAGATAAGTAAGTGCAGGACGCGCTGAGATACAAATTCACCCGTAGCCCCTGCCCAGGTCTGTGCCCCCAGAGAGCAGCAGTAGCTTTAGCGGGACATCTTCACTTGTGCTTTGTAAAGGGTATGTATTTTTTAAGGAAAACAAAAACTCTTAAAAAGTTAGCTTAGAGAGATGTGGGTACATTCCTTCTGTAAAGGTGTGTTGTTTATTGTCTTTCGAATCCATGTGGAAGTTTTCTTTTTCTTATTTGAGAAAACCAAAACACAATTATAAAACTAATGTGTTCAAACAATACGAAAATATCTACTCATTCCCCAGAGGAATCGCCAGAGCCCAACAGTTTGCTTGCATGTATTTATTTTGTTTACGTAGCGTATATTTTTTTCCCAACTGTAAATAGGATGTGACACTGTTTTGTCGCATACTTGTTCTATTGGTATAGCATAAAACAGCCTTGCTGACTTGTGACTTAAGGCTCCGCTTCACTCTTCCCTCCTGTTAGGATCAGTGACGAGGAAGACCTCCACCTGGGGACGTCGTTTTCTGCAGAAACCAACCGAAGGGACGAAGATGCCGACATGTAGGTTTGGCTGTGAACAGTTGGGGATGGGCTCCAGCCAGATGCAGTCCAAGATATTTAGTCGCAGATGACATTTTTAGAATTAGCCAAAGACAACAAAGTTGGCCCTTCTTTCCCCGACCTCTAAGGCTTGAGAACTTTGAAAAACTCTTAAAAGTTCTTTCAAAGTATTTCTCGAGATTTTAAAAGTGCTCCTTGACTAGTAATATTTCTCAAATACATTTCAGGGATAAACATTGGACTGCCTACTTTTTCTTTTGCCAACGAGGCTGTTAAACAACTACCATCTACCATTATTTTCCCATCTTCAAAGAACCTTACAGATAATAACACCAATAGATTGATTGGTAGGCCATGATCTCATAGGTTGGTGCTTTAAGTGGTAAATTTTCGTTTCTTTAAGTGGTAAATTTTAGTTTCATGAATCAACTCAATTTTCTTGTCTTTTTCTCACCTCTCCATGGGTTGGTGAAAAGTTCATCATGCATCATCATTGCTCCGTGGGCCAGTGTTAGGAACCGCTATTTTAAAAGACACCTGTTTTGTGCATCCAGCCTGTCCTTGAGGCCTGGGGGTCTCTCGTTTCAGGATGAAGTACATAGAGACGGAGCTGAAGAAGAGGAAAGGGATCGTGGAACATGAGGAACAGAAAGTAAAGCAGAAGAACGCAGAGGACTGTCTCTACGAACTTCCGGAAAACATCCGCGTCTCCTCAGCGAAGAAGACGGAAGAGATGCTTTCCAACCAGATGCTGAGCGGCATCCCCGAGGTGGACCTGGGCATCGAGTACGTTCGGGAGCCACGGCCTCACCTCTCTCCTGCCCTAGGCCGGAAGGGGAGCTCCCTGCTTTCCAGTTAGAAGTTAAGGGGACTATTTCTTACCTGTCTCCTTGGAAACCCACATAAATCATATTCTCAATGATGGGCTGAGATGTTGTCCCCAGGAGTTTCTCTGAAGAGTTGGTCAGAGTAGTTAAAGAGACTTGAGGGACCCTGACTGCTAAAAGCAAAGGTGTTTATTTTTATTTAGGCTTCGTTTACAGCTCTTCAGCTGTCCTAGGCAGGCCCTCGTGTTTTCTGTTTTATTCTAGCAGGAGTGACGTTAAAAGCTTAGCCACCCCGTGATCCTCCTCTCGTTTTTACCACAGAATATCTGCTCTAAAAGAGATTGCTATGGGGGAAGTCAGGGGTGAGAACCATCTTTGGGTGTAGGAGAAGATTGGGAGACTTCTGGGTTCTCGCCTCTCCTGGTCTTTGTAGCTTCGAGCCTTAGGCAGTTCACTCTACTTCTCAAAGGCTCAGTTTCCTTTGATCAGAAGAGGCTGACTCCCGCATCTCCGAGAGCTGTGGGAGCTCCCTGAGTATGTGGCTGTCAGGGAGCCGGTAAACTACACATCTCTGCCCCCAAGAAAGGTGATTTCCTTAACGCAGTGGTGGGCTGCCAGCCTCACCGGTCATTTCCTTCTGAGGACCAGAGGTGTGGCGATCTAATACGTGACATGGCTCCCTCTTCCCATAGTGCTAAAATAAAAAATATCATTTCTACGGAGGATGCCAAGGCCCGTCTCCTGGCAGAGCAGCAGAACAAGAAGAAAGACAGTGAGACATCCTTCGTGCCCACCAACATGGCGGTGAATTACGTGCAGCACAACCGATGTAAGCTGCTCTGCACAAGCAGCCCCGCTCCCGCCCCATTGGCTCGAGGTCTCCTGGTTCCCATATTTTGTCTGACACGTCCCCTGGTCTCTTTTGATTCAGTTTATCATGAGGAGCTCAATGCGCCTATACGGAGAAATAAAGAAGAGCCCAAAGCCCGACCCTTGAGAGTGGGTGACACAGAGAAGCCGGAGCCTGAGCGTGAGTACCACAGAGCCGTTTGGGCTGCCTGGAGTGGTTACGTGGTGCTCTGAAGGCAGGTGGGACGAGGCAGGCCTGGAGCTTGGGCTCTGGAGCCAGGACGCTGCGTTTTAGTCTGTGCCCTGGACTACAGCCACGTGACTTGCCCATTCCAAACTTCAATTTCCTCATCTATAAAATGGGGATGAAACCTACCACTTGGATTTGCTCTGAGATTCACTGGGCTATTAGGGACTCAAAAAATTAGATGATTTTAATAAGCAAAGATAAAAGTTACTTACAATTTCCCCACCCAAAGACAACCACTGTTAACGTTTTTATGTATAACCCTTCAGACTTTTTAAATATTGACGTGTGTGAGAAACATTGTGTATACACTTACTACGATCTCATAATGTTTTACTCAATAGTGTGCCCTACGTATTCCATTATGTAGACAGATGTACTATAGTCTAACCATTTCTCTCTGGGTGGACACTTAGGTTGTTTCCAATTTTCACTGTTTAAACACTAAAACATTTTTTTTTTAATGGCCATGTCATATCATATTCCATTGTATAGACAGATGTACTATAGTCTAACCATTTCCCTCTGGTTGGACACTTAGGTTGTTTCTAATTTTCACTGTTTTGACGATCATTCTCAACTACATCATGCCCTTAGGCTACATTCTGTGAAGTCGCCAAATGATCCTTAGAAGTGTGACACTCATTTTCCCGCCAGCAGCGTCTGACAGTGCCCCTCCCACATGCTTACCAGCTGCTCTCACCTTTTTCATCAGCAATGGGATGGTTCTAAGGAAACGCATATTTTGCTGAAGCTTCTGAGAATCCGGCCTGTTACTCTGCTTCTTCCTTCCTACTTGGGAAATTATTTTTTGTAACATCTTGGTCTTGTAGTCTTTGATTCCCAAGAGCTGCATGTTATTAACACGCGGTAAGCAAGGACTTTGGAGTCACCAGACTTGGGTTAGACTCTCGGCTGACTTTCTGAGTGACCTTAAACAACTCACCTAAGCTCTGAACAAAAATAGTAACATGCCCCTGATACGATTGCCATGAGGGTTAAAAGAAGTCACATCTAAAAGGCTTAAGGCCATGCCTGGTACATAGTCAAGTTCTCTATCAAGCGCAGCTACTACTGTTGACCTAGTCTGATGCTGATATCAGCATATTTTGGCTGGCACCTGACTGTGCCATATGTCTGTTTTCATTCACTCCATATAAGTATTTTCCGAGGCCCTACAATATTTTTGTTCACTCGGGTGGGCACCGGGGCTCCTGTGGGAATGAGACAGGCATGAGGTCCTTGCCTGTGTGCAGCTGAAGCAGATCGGTTTCCAGCACGGCAAACAGCTTTTCCTCTTTGCTTTCGCAGGGTCCCCTCCTAACCGCAAGCGTCCTGCTAACGAGAAGGCCACCGATGACTATCACTATGAGAAGTTCAAGAAGATGAACAGACGGTACTGAGCATGGCTGAAGGGGAGAAGTGCAGAATGGGATGTAGATAGCACTGGCCCCACCCACGGTAAAAGGCTCCTGAACAGAAACCTGATCACTTGTTTGCAGACGGTTCCAAAAACAGATTCTATTAGTCCGGCTGCTAACTTGCTGGATTTTTCAGGCACCGAATTTGTAACCTTTTGAAACTAAACAACGTGTAGTTTTTTTATTTGGGGACGAATTATTCCTGTGAGCATTATTGAATCTTGTTTGTAAATATGTTGACTTTATCTTAATATTTGCCCTGGGTCAGGAGGCAACAGCTGTGTGTTCGAGGTGAGATAATACCTTTTTAAATTGTGCTTTTATTCTATATGTAATCATGCCTTCCACTTTCCAATATCTGGAATGGGTTCAGAAATGCACCCCTCGCTGTTTGCAGTAGATCCAGCTGACAGCAGAAAAATCTAAGATGGGATCAAAGGGACACTGGTATTTTCTGACTTTTACAAACTTACCTGTTTCTTTTCAATAAGAAAGAAGAAACAATTTCTATCGCCTTCAGCACTTAACTATTAAATATAAAAGGAATCCAGCCATCTCGTTTGTATTGTGTCTCCTTACGGCAACACAAGGTAATGTGGTCAGCGCCCAGGTGCTGGGCAGCTCAAATGCAAACCTGAATTGCTGAGTGAAACCTCACTTAGTTCAGGAGAGTAAACAGGCTCCAACCTGCTTGCTGTCGAGTAGGGTGCCACTTGTGCTGTCATGTCTCCTGAGGCATTTAAACAGCTCGGGGTGAGGAGAGCAGGTGGGTTGACTTCTGCACTGATTTAGAGTGGATATTGTGGTTACAGAAGTTTGGCTTGGAGTCAGATCTGAGCCCTGCTCACAGCTTATTATTATGTCCTTGGACAAATCCCTTTCCCTCGGAGGCTCAGTTTTCTCACCTGTAAAATGCAGATTATTTTTCTCTCTCTCCACTGGAATGCAAAGTGAAGGCAGGAATTACGTGTGCCACATTTTTTTCTTGAATCCCCGGAGTCTAGCTCATAACCTGACACAGGCAGTCCTCAAAATTAGAATGAGCGGAAGTAACTTTACAGTGGAGAAACCTTGACAAACGACCTTTATGACGTCAATAGTCATAAATCACGTTGATAGTCTGTACCTTTGACCTTATAAAAATAGCATTTTATTTCTGTACAGTATATTCCTCCCCAAAACCCATGACCCCAGTCTGTGAGGCAAATTCCAATAGTGGCGTATTCTACAAAAGATTTGACCAGTATTCCTCCAAACTGGTTATACCAATGTAAATTCATCGGTATAGGTTCACATGTAACGAATGTAACATAGTAATGTAAGATGTCAGAGGAAACTATGTGCTGGGTGGGGGTAGATATGAGATCTCTCTAAACTGTCTTCTCAATTTTTATGTAAGTCTAAAAGTCAAAAGAAAGTGGCCCCCAGTGGCTTTCGGCGCCCACCTCGCGGTAGCGGAAGAGGCTCTGCCCCTAACAAAGATGGCGTGCACGGGCATCGCGAGGAGGCTCGCCCCGCACAAAGATGGCGGCGACAGATGGGCGGAACCGGAAGCCCAGTCTAGCAGGATCACGGGTCCGCGGTAGGCTCGGGCACGCGCAGGGCGGCGCGGGTCCGGGTATGAAGCTGGGACGGGCTGTGCTCGGCCTGCTGCCGCTGGCGCCGTTGGTAGTGCAGGCGGTGGAGCCCATCAGCCTGGGACTGGCCCTGGCCGGCGTCCTCACCGGCTGCATCTACCCGCGCCTCTACTGCCTCTTCACCGAGTGCTGCGGCCAGCAGCGGAGCCTCAGCCGGGAGGGTAGGTCGGGGCCGGGGCTGGGCGGGGGTCCGAGGCAGGGGTCGGGCCTGGAGGGCCGGAAGCCGGGACAGAGCTGAGGCCGGGACAGAGCTGCGGTCGGGGCGCGGAACCGGAGAGCCCGGGGCGCGGGGCGGGCCTGGTTCCTGGGCTCCGACCGCAGACACGCCGGAGTTTGGTCGGACGCTTCGTGAGCCGAGCTGCAGGTTAGGCGGCTTCACGCAGAAAAGGGGCGTGTGGACGCTTGTAAACTTCCTCCGAAGAGAGTTTCCGCCTTCCCGGCGCGGACCCGTGTGGCGGGAGGAGCAGAGCTGGGGCGAGGGGCGCACGTCGGCGGCGGAAGCAGTGGAGCCAAGGACCCTTTCAGGAAAGAGCCAGGCTCCGGACCCACCTGCCATCCCTGGGCCAAGGGTTTCCGTTCCTCGAGTCTCTCCAGGTGCTCGAAGAGCTTAGCTGGCCTTGCCGGCTTTCACATGAGCCTGTAAAGTTAGCTAAATTTTGCCAGCTGTGCGTCCCACCCCCTCCCTGACTGGCTTTGTTTTTCCCAGTGCTCCAGAAGGACCTGGACAGCAAGCTCTTTGGACAGCATCTTGCAAAGAAAGTCATCTTAAACGGCGTGTCTCGCTTCA